TTGTTTTCTTATAGAGTCTTAAAAGTCTCTCATCAGAAACCAAATAATTGAAATCCAAGTGTGATTAGTGAAGGAAAAAATCTTTCTAATCTAAAACAGACAGATTTCAAATTTTAAACTCCCATTTGTACTCCAAATAACTTTAATCGTTAAGCAGTTAACTGTTGCCTTATGTACATGGTTACCCAGCTGCTATAATTGCCATCAGCAAACTTCTATTTTTATGACTTAGTTTTTTTGGCATTGTGCCAAAGAAATAAGGCAAGAAAATAACCTTTATTGTTCAAGATCGTTTGCGTGCCATTAAATACCACAGTGAAGGGGGTAATTTCCAGAGCAAAAAATACTAAATTGAAAATAAAAATTCTTTGGCTGAGTTCTTACCTTCCCAGCAAATGAAACTCTGCTTGTGAAAAAGAAAAATAATACAACCATAAAGGTCTCATCTTTATAGGAATTCTTTCAAATGGAAATGGAAAGCAATTATTCTCCAATGAAAAATAAATAAAAATGGGCATGTTCCGTTTGCTCTGGATCAGTTCTGGTAAGACGCACTCTTTCCTGCTGTGAGTGCCCTGGGTTTCCCGCTCCAGGTCTGCCCCAGCGCTCCTGCTGTCTTTGATGGAGTAAGTGCGTCTGCCGCTGCTGAAGGCCAGCCCCTCCTCTGTGCCTGTTTTCCTCTCTGCTCTCTGTGGGGTCACAGGTGGGCTGTGCAGTCGTGACCTGCCCCTTTTCTTGGAGATTCTTCTCAGTGGTTTTGAAACCTTGTTTTAGGCCAGTTTTCATCTAAGTTTGGACCACTGGTGTTAGAATAGCCTGGGTTTGCAGATTCCTGGGCACACCCCAGACTGGCTGAACCAGGAGAGAGGGAACTTGGAAATCTGCCTTCTTCACAAACAGGTCAGTGGTTACAAACATTTCCTGTAAGCTCTTAGACACAAGCCAACACGCAAATATCGCTAGATCCTGCCTTCTCTTATTCCTCATTTCCTCTTCACTGCAGGTTTCACGGGGAGTCCCCAGTGTCCACCCCTGTCCTTACTCCTCATAGTCTTGTCTGGCAGGTTTCCACACTCGATGTGCCCCATCAGCAAAATATTTCTGAGCATGTCCTCTTAATATATATTTATTTGTTTATGAATTGTGTACTTACATTAGCGTGCCGCTGTGCTGGGCACACGGTAAAGTGGTGTACAGAGGCAGCGAGGATGAGAGGGTTAGATAGCACCACAGGCTCAACGGGCGGGAATCTGAGCAAACTCTGGGCCATGGCAGAGGACAGAGGAGCCTGGCGGGCTGCAGTCCATGGGGTCTCAGGGCTGGACACAGCTTAGCAGTTGAGCAACAACAAAAGAGGAGATAGGAAATAAGTAATATTTTTAATTTAAAAAAATGATTTAGCACTATCATTCAGTGAATGTAGACCTAAGTCTATGTTTTAAATGCTCTTTTGATAATTTTGAATTTGGGAGGCTCACTTTATCAGATCTCAGCAGATTGTGTTCTTTTTTCACATTAAAATTTGGCTGTTGAAGGGGCTCATACCGGAAAAAAAAGACGCATTAGCCCTACCATTTCTTCTTGTACACACTCCACACGTTCTTACATCGTAAGTATTAGCCTTATTGCTTAGAGGTCTTTGAAATCTTTTTTAAGTGAGGTTGAGGGTCAGTTTAGTAAAAGCTACATAATATAACCTGCAAAGCTGTTGAACCGGGCACATGTGGCCCGCAGAAGCTTGCAGAAGGAGGAGTGGGTGTGCCACTGGGTCCCCCCACTCCGTGCGGCCTTGTTCCCCTGGGGCGGCTTCTGTAGCTGCGGAGGGGCAGCCACTGAGCCACATGCTCAGTGGTATAATGACTTGGTTTTACTTTGGGGCACAGATGATATAAATAGCAGTTGTAATCTTTTCTGTCTGTATCCCAGCAGACCACTTTGTACAGCTCCTGGCCCAGGTTGGGACAGCACTTAAACCACTGGGTCTCCTACACTTTGTTTTCCTTATTAACACTATTGCAGAACTTACTACTGAGATCATCGCTGATCTCCATGCCCCTAAATTTAGTGGACTTTTTGGGTTCATTTTTACCTGACCATTCGTAGCTGTAAGTGCAACTGACCATTTCCTGGTTTTTTCTCCTCTTGTAAGTGGTTTGACCATTGACCCAGTTGCTCTCACTGAAAATCTGTGGGTCGTTCCCCTTGACTGCACGGTTCAGTCAGTGGGACCTGTTGATTCTACTTCCTCTGTATTGTGAATCCGTTCACTTTTCCACCACCTCTGTCCCCTCCTGGTTCAAGCCTCTGCTCCCTCAGAGCTCAGCAGTGGTTCCCCTGTGGGTCTCCTGAGACCTGCTTTCTCCCCCTCAGCTGGAAGCTCGGAGAACGTGAAGCTGCCTTTTTACTCCCTCGCTCCGTAGGTCTCGGGTAGCTCTCGGTACGGCCGGAAGAGACAGGGAAGACCTGGCTGTCTCCCCGCTCAGCTTCCTGCTTGGGGCTCTGCGCTCCAGATACCCTGACTTTCTGTCTGATCCCCCCTTTGCATGCTCCCTAGCCACCTACCTACACGTTATTCCCTCTTCACAGGAATGGTCTTCTTCTCCCTTCCCTGGCCACCAGCTGCTTCTCATCCTTCATATTTTATTACAGGATCGCTTCTCCAGGGAAGTCTCATTGGAGCCCCTGCCAGGCAGTTACACTGTCCTGTATGTTTCTTCATAGCTCTTCCCCTGAGTATGAATAAACCAGCTGTTAGATCCCCTGTATCTAACGGGTCGTAAAGATGCGTTAAATATTTGAGTGAATTGGCATTGTTGTAGCAATATTCGTTTCTATGTCCATAGGCTCGTTATCCTGTGAGGATAATGCCCTTGTCTGGCTTGGCCTCCATTATTTTTCTATCATCTAATCATTTACACACAAACACACAAAATTTGTTGACTTAATGTGAAGATTCTGTCATTATTTGTTCAGTGTCTTTCCCCCTTAGACCATAGAGTGATTGTCTGTTTTGTGCACACATGCCCAGCGTTTGTATACTGACATTATAGTCAGTATTTGGTGTTTTTTTAATTAGTCTATTTCTGCCTTTTTCTATACACATTTAATCCATTCCTATTTATGATAATTCTAATACGTTTGAACTTATTTCAGACATTTTGTGTTATGTCCTTGTTTTTTTTTCTATTTCTTTCTATTGTTTAAATGGATCAAGTTTTATTCCATTATTTTCCCTCCAAAAGTTAGAAAGTTAAATATCCTCTTTTAGTCTTCTAATTATTGTCTTAAAATTTTTAATGCAAATATTTATTTTATATTTTTCTAGCATCTGCTCCTGTCCCTGCCACCTTTATTATGTGATTTTGCTTTTTAATTATTTATAACAACAGAACTTAAGTTTTACCAGTTTTTTAGTTTTTATTTAACTCGCTTCTGTTTCTTTTATCTTGGGTTCTACTCTATGGTGTTCTATTTATTTACTTTGGTTCTATTATGTTTTGGGGAGACAGTAACTTTTGTAATAATTTTTTAAAATAGGATTTGGGAGTGATGTATTTTCTGCATTGTTACAGATCAGAAAATGTGTTGTTTTGCTCTTCTTTGTAATTAGTTTACCTGGGTATGCATTATGTGTTCTCATATTGCCTCAGTATTTCAGAGATTTTGCTTCACTGTTTCCAGTGAGATGTCTGATAGCATTGAAGGCTTTTAATATTTTGTTTTTACCTTTACTGTTGTTATAAAATGTCACTATTAGTCTTTGTTTTGTTTTTTTTTCTCCTGTTCACACTGGCTCTTTCTTTAACCCTCAGAAATTTCCCGTTATTTCTTTGATAAGTGTTTTCTCTTCCATTTTTTTCTACTCTAGTTTCTAGATATTTCCCGTTAGCTGGATTTGGGAAGTTCTGAGTTCATCCTTAGTGTCTTTGTCCTTTTGTACCATATTGTCAGAAAACGCCTCGTCTCAGTCTTGTAATTGATTGATCACTTAACTGTGTTTGTTTTGCTGTTTGACACACCATCTGTGTTTTCTTCTTCATTTCAGTGTTTAAATTTTTAGTTTCCAAGATCTGTGGGTGTCTTTCTGTGACTCGAGTGTGCTCTTGCACTTCTGAAGGCAGGCGTCTTTGGGTCTCTTCTGCATTTGCTGCCCTTGCAGGGCTGCTTCTGCCATTGACGCCGGTGCCCTGTCTCAGCAGCACTGGTGGCCGTGGGCTCTCAGGGACCTGAGAGCTCCTGCCAGCCTGTTGGCGAGCGCCGCGTCTGGTTCTGACGACTACGGGGGAGGGCGGGACATGCCACCAGGTGGGCTGTGCCAGACCAGCACGCTTCTGTGCTGGGACGCCGCTTTCCTTCTATAAATCTAGACGTCCGCCCTCACTGCTCAGAGACACGCCTTTTTGTGGAGAAGGAGTGACCACAGTGTCCAGCTGTTCCTGCGGCAGAGCCTGACGGCCTGCTTAACACTTAGTCCAAGACCCCTTCCTGCTCTGTGAAGCCTCCCGCCCATCCCGCCTCGGGATTATATATACCACTTTCTCTAGACGGCGTATTGCCATTGTTTGTTCCTTTTGTCTGTTTGTACCTGCCTTCTTTCAGGAATTTCTCAAAATTTCTGATCCCTTGAGATCAGTCCTCCTTAGCTAATGCTGTATAAAGAAAAAAAAAAAAGACATTTATCAGGACTTGAAGTGGAAAGAGCTGTCAGAAGCACTGCTCAGAGTGCTGTCTTGATCCAAGCTGTGCTCAAGAGTTCAGCATATCCCTGTTTAAATATATCCTCAGTAACATCTATTCAGATGAAAATATACTTATCTTAGACTGTGATACAGATGTGACTATCTCCTAGTACTAATTTTGTAAAGGTTTTCATTATAATTACTATATTTCAGTGAATCCGTACATTCCTTTATCTATGAACTCATAGAACCAGTATTTTTTATTATATTATTTTTATAGTATACGAAGAAAAGCTAATTTCATTGTTTTCTTTCTATTAGGTTGCTGACAATTCAGTCATTCTAAAAGTTCTTCGGTCCAACATTCAGCATGTACTGGTCTATGAGAACCTTGCTCTCCAGGAGAAAGCACTGGCTTGTATTCCAGTCCAAGAACTGAAAAGGAGATCACAAGAAAAGTTATCTAAAGCCAGAAAATTGGATAAAGGTAATGGCTTTACAGAACCATTCATTGCTAAATATGCATCATTACTAAATCAACAAAAATGCTGAAATGGTGCCCTTTACTGTATACATTGTAAATATGTAACCCAGTTCTATTTGGATTTTTAAGAAGTACAACAGTAGTATAATTTTTTGTTGCATATACCTTATGCACACATCTATTAAAATTTTTTAACTCAAATAATGTATTTTTAGTTTAATCATTGGCATGTGATTTTTTTTTAAGATATAATATCACCAGAACTTCAGTCCATGAAATATGTGATGGCATTATTAGTGAATTTTAATGTGAAACTGAGAAAAAGCTTATTCAGAATGAATTCATGTGATTTGACCACTGACTCCCTTTAACTGGCAGTTACTGATATAGCATATGCATGTACAAGCCGACTACCTGGGTATGGATTCAGCTCCACCTCTCACCTTGAATCACTGAGCAAGGAATTTCATCTCCCTGCTACAGTTTCTTCATTTGATAATAGGAATGATAATTCTCAGAAATAACTAGAATAGTGCATGTGAATGGCTCAGAACAGTGCCTGCCACATTCATCAACCAATACTTTGTTGTTTTCATTAATAGTCTTAGGATTTTAGTTGTTAAATTTTTCCAACTTCAGCATTTTTACTTTGAATTTGTATACAGTTGTTTTTTTCTGTGAACTCAATTTCCTAATACTATATTTTCTGGGGGAGTTGTGTAATATTCTTTTGGTGGTTGATCTAGTATGCAATAAACAATTTTGTTTTTCCAGTTTAAAAAACTGTTATTTTACATTGAAGTAGAGTTGATTTATAATGTTGTGTTACTTTCAGGTATCCAGCAAGGGGGTTCAGTTGTGTGTAATGCAGTATGTCCACTCTTTTAGATTGTTTTCCTATTTACATTATTACAGAGTACTGAATAGAGTTCTGTGTGCTGTACAGTGGGTCTCTGTTTATCTATTGTGGTGTGTGTATGTTAATCTATCTTTTAGATAGTCTTCTGTTTTCATTTATTTCAGCTTCATATTTGAGAACAAAATGTATGTGGGTGTTTTTAGTTTTTTTCTGCTTTAGCTCTTAACTCGGTTCTGTTCTAACTTTTCAGGTACTAATGTAAGTGAAGAGGATTTTCTTTTGCTGGAGCTTTTACACTGGTTCAAGGGAGAATTTTTTCACTGGGTGAACGACGTTGTGTGCAGTAAGTGTGGTGGCCAGACTAAGTCCAGAGGCGAGTCATTACTCCCCAGCGATGATGAGCTGAAGTGGGGTGCCAGCAGAGTAGAGGACCACTACTGTGACGCGTGCCAGCTCAGCAGCCGATTCCCACGGTGAGTGTCCGCTGACGGTGACGGCGGAGCAGCCCTCGCGGATGGGTGGAGAGCATTTTATTAACCGACTTCTAACCTCCCCTTTTGTCACTAGAAGTATATTCCTCCAGAACAGGGCTCAGCCAGCTGCGGCCGCAAGCTCAGTCCAGCGCACACCCTGGTTCGTGAATGAGGTTTACTGGAGCACGTTGTGCTGCTTCGTTGTCGTGGGGTGTAACTGTTTCATGTACAGCGGCAGAGTTGAATACTGGCCGCAGAGACTGTGTGGCCTGCACAGTCGAGAACATTTGCTGTCTTGCTTTTTATAGGAAGAGCTTGTTGACTCTCGAGTATTGTCCTAGCAATTTAATGCTATAAATTGTGAGTTTTTCTTCTTTTAATACATAAATTTTAACTTTCTGATAACATTAATAATAATACTGATAGCACATAAAAAATAATGCTAAAAGATTAGAATAAAACTAATCCTTGTGATGGTAAATACAGTGCTGCACTTAAATCATCAGCTGGTAATATGGAAGGTGAAAGTATAGTTAAAGACTGTCATGTTTTATATAATTTTTTGAAACTAATTTTATTTTTCCTTTTTTATGTTTATTGTCGTGATATTATTCATTGAAGCATGCTCGGCATACAACATTACATTATTTTCAGGTGTACAGCATAACGATTTGATATCTGTATACATTGTAAAATGATCAAAGTTAATCTAACTGCTTTTGGTTGTTATACAGTTAAAATTTTTCTTTGTTATGAGATCTTTTAAGATTTTTAGCAGTTGGTGGGTGAATGGCTAAAGATGTGGTGTTATATATACACAATGCAATTCTACTCAGTCATAAGAAAAAAATAAAATCTTATCATTTGCAACAGTATGATGACCTTGTGGGTGCTATGCCAAGGAAATAAGTCACACAGAGAAAAACATGTACTATATGATTTCACCTGTGTGTGGACTCTAAGACCAGAGCAAATAGACACACAAAGCAAAACTAATAGATACAGAGAAAAAAGATTGGTGGTTGCCTGGTGGGAAGGGCATGAAGGGAACCAAGTATAACGTCCAGAAATAAAGTAGTCCTGGGGGCATGATGCACTGTGGTGTCTGTACACAGTGCTGTTGTTTCGCATCATATTTTATTTTTAATAAAGAAGTTTGGTGCCTCCCCTGCCATCCTAACCTACCCTCATATCTCTTAATTTTAAACTAAAGGAATTGGAACTTTTCTGTTAACTTTTCCCATCCTTTAATATACAAGTCTCTTATTAGATATTCTTAATTGACAATACTTGTAAAATTTGGTTGTGTCATCAGGTAAGAAAAGATAGCAAGTTTTTCTTTTTTTTAAGCAAGTTTTTGAAATACCTGATTTTAGGGGCATCAGTACTCAGTTCTATCCTAAGGGAGAATCAGTCCTGTGATATACAGAGTCCAAGATAAACAGAATCCAGTATCCAATAATTATCTATAATTAACAGTTGTTTCTTCATTCAGCATATATGTGCACAGGTACTTGCAAAGATCTGAAGATAAAAATATATATGATTATAGGTAAATTGTCCTCATAAACTCTAGGCTGTGGGTATGGACTGAGAGTGCATGGCGTGGGGCAGAGGCTAGGGGATACAAAGGTATTGTATTTGTACCTTGTTGTCCTTTTCCCATCGAATCGTGCGCTCATCTTGGCTGTTCTCTGTGTAGGGTTGGGAGGATGGACACTACTCATTAGAGCCTGTGGCCTTTCACCTTAACACATGCGGTGTTGAGGCATGGAGGCACAGGACGCCCTGATTTGCTGCTGTTACTTCCTCATGTAAAGAGACCACTTGTTTCAGTAACTACATTACCTAAATTATAAATTCATTTCGCTTAGCACAAGCCAGAGCATCGGCTTGATTGAAGACGAGCTCGTCACTGCTGGGCCAGTGCACTTGTGAAGCTGTGTCCTTCCCACCCGAGCTCATGGCCAACATTTCTGCTCAGCTGGGCGCTTTCCCTGTGTAACTTTATTAGCCCCAAATTCCTTCTCAAACATAATATGCAAAATTTGATGTTCTTCAGCTTGATGGTAATTTTAGAACTGGAGTAACTTTTTTTGTTTCACTGTGCGGCTTGCTAGGTCTTAGTTCCCTGACCAAAGATTAAACTTGGGCCCCAGCAGTGAAAGCACCCCACCCTGACCACTGAACCATCAGGGAAGTCCCTGGAGTAACCTTTTAAAGAATGTGGCAAATACATTTCAAAAAACCCACTTCCAAATTAGCAAGCACCTTCAAGTGAATTGGAAGAATAAAAGTGTAATCCAAATGATCATTAGAAAGAAAAATAGTGTTTTAAGTATTAATAAAATTGAGTTCAGCTAAGCTTTCAAATCTTTATTGAGCAGTTTGTTTAAGTACAGTGAGATAATTATACCACCTGTTAGGCTAACACTCATGCTTAAAGCAGATTTCGAAGAGAATCTCTGCCTGTCCTGTAAGGCCCAGTTCAGATGCAGTCTCTCCTGCCTGAACCCTATCCTGTTACACAGATTCTGACCTGTTGTGTAGCTTGTGTCATGTCCTGCCATGTACTAAAATTATCTGTGCTCTGTCCTTTTCTCTCTCAGGACCGTAAGCTCCTGAAGGCTATGTACGAGTGTTTAGTCATTTTCACCCAGGATTCTAGCACAGTGCCTCACACATTCTAGACTCTGTAATCGTTCTTTAAGAATATGAAGTTAAGAAATACTACTGTTTAGCACAAAGGTGGCTTCCCTGGTGATTCAGACAGTAAAGAATCTGCCAGCAATTCAGGAGACTCCAGTTCAGTTCCTGGGTATGGAAAATCCCCTGGAGGAGGAAATGGCTACCCACTCCAGTATTCTTGCCTGGAGAATCCCATGGACCAGGGAGCCTGGTAGGCTACAGTCCATGGGGTCGCAGAGAGTTGGCCATGACTGAGGAACTAACAAACACTTTCTTTCAATGTAAATTCTTTAGAATTCTTGGTTTTGATAATGAATCGGCACTTTTTGTTGTTGCTACTTTAAACCAGGTATAATAATCCCGAGAAGCTTCTGGAGACGAGAAGTGGGCGGTGTGGGGAGTGGGCCAACTGCTTCACACTGTGCTGCCGTGCCCTGGGCTTTGAAGCCCGCTACGTCTGGGATTACACAGGTGCGGGGCGTTGGGGGGCGCTGAGGCTGGGGTGCACACTCCCCTGCCTTGTCAGTGTGAGGCTCCGTTTGCCTTCTGTAAGATAACAGGTTTTTTTATGGGGAGCACAGGGTCTTTTTTTTCTTTCATGGCTAGTACTTTGCATCATAAATATTCTTTAACAATTTGGAGGATACCATGCCGTTTTTAGTCATGCTGTTTCTCTTTGGATAGGAACATGTGTGATAATGTTATGTAGAAATTCTTTATTTTTGTAGAGATTAGTATAAAAGATTTAGTAATTTTAACTCAGTATATAGATTTTTTTCACTTGTTTGTTTCTGTTGTTTTCTTAGGGTAAAATGAAAGCTTCACTCAATAGTTACTTGTTTTTTTTTCCCCCCACAATCAAATAGAGACCGTGAATAACCAGACATCCACTGTTAGATCTCTGCTGGTCTACAGTTCCAAAGTGGAGTTAACTCCTTCACATTAGCAAACTGTGTGTATTAGCCCCATGGTTTTTGTTTTTTGCTATTTTAATTTTCTAAGTTTTACATTTTAATACTCATGGGCACCATAATTTCCAAGTACCATGGGCTGCACGATTGCTATGTGTACTTTTTTTTAAAGGATGATGTATTGTTGCTTAGTTGAAATTTTATTGATCATTTGTTAATATTTATTTATTGGCTGTACCACCCAGAATGCAGGACCCTAGTCCCCTGACCAGGGATTGAACCCATGCCCCCTGCAGTGGGAGCATGGAGTCCTAACCACTGATCCACCAGGGAAGTCTCAGCTCCATGTTTTTGATGCTATTGTTTAGCTTGTTTGCCCCTTTTAGAGTTATAGCTCACATTATTTCTAACCAAACCTAACGCTGACTCTGTTGAGAGTTTCCAAGACATTTCCCAAGATTCCAGGGAGAAATTAGAACAACCATTCTAGAGTCTTGTACGCCACAGAATGGTCAGGCTCACTCATTAAGTTCAGAGTTGCTTGATGCTGTGTGGTTCTACTCTTGGGTGTGTCCAGTTAGTGAAGGTCCTGGTTTTATACACTGAGCTTTTGTTTCCTGCCCCGCTGCCTCTCGCCGGCCCGTCACGCGCGTAGACCATGTCTGGACGGAGGTGTACTCGCCGTCTCAGCAGCGCTGGCTGCACTGCGACGCGTGTGAGGACGTCTGTGACAAGCCCCTGCTCTACGAGGTCGGCTGGGGCAAGAAGCTCTCCTACGTCATTGCCTTCTCTAAGGACGAGGTAGGGCATGGGGGGGGAGACTGCGTCCTAAGAGGAAAATTGCTTTGTTCTTTTAACAGCTTTCGAAGGTATAATTGACATAGACTAATCAGCATACCTTTGAAGTTACAATTTAGTAAGCCTTGCCCTGCGTCCGCGCCCCTGAGATACCTTTGCAGTGGTGTCGCGTGTGAGCACGCCCGCCATCCGTGCACTGTCCCTGTTGCTTCATCTTCCCTCATCCTGGCCCCTCTCCCTGCAGGCCCCCACAGCTGCTTTGTGAGACCATAGATGAATCTGCATTTCTAGAGTTGTGTATAAGTGGAATCATATTTACTCTGATGGGGGGGTGCTTTTATCTTACTCATCGTAACTATCTTGAGATTCCTCTGTGTGTTTTCATGTATCAATAGTTTGTCCTTTTCATTGCTGAGCAGTATTCCACTGTATGGATGTACCATGCTTTGTTTATCCATTTGCCTGTTGATGGACATTTGGGTTTTTTCCAGTTTTTTACTATTTCCAGTGCAGCCGCTATTGTCTTTATATGACAGTATAAAGGTGCAAGTCTTTGAATGAGCATAGCTTTCTTTTCTCTTTGGTAAATGTCTACAAGAGGAATGACTAAATCACATAGTGAAAGTGAAAGTGAAGGTGCTCAGTCGTGTCCAACTCCTTGTGACCCCATGGACTGTAGCCTGCCAGGCTCCTCTGTCCATGGGATTCTCCAGGCAAGAACACTGGAGTGGGTTGTCATGACTTTAACTTTTTAAGAAGTTAGCTCAACTATTTTCCAAAGGAATGGTGCCATTTTTATATTCTCACCAGCACTATGTGAGGATTCCCAATTTCTCCATACTCTTGCTGGCAGTATGGTCTGACTTTTTCTTGTGGCCCTTTTAATAGATGTGCAGTGACTTCATTTGCATTTCCTCAAGGATGAATACTGAGCAGCTTTTTACGGACTTGTTTGTCATCCATTTCTCCTCTTTACCCATTATTTTTTTTAAATTGGGTGGTTCATTTTCTTATTCTTGGGTTTTGAGAGTTCTTCATATATTCTGAATACAAGTCCTTTTTCAAATAAGAGCTTTGCAGAGATTTTCTCTGTGTTTGGCTTGTCTTTTTAATTCTATTAATGATTTTTGAAGAGAAGAAATCGATAAAGTTCAGTTCATCGATTTGTCCTTTTGTGGATCTTGCTTTTTGATGTTACATGTAAGAGATGTTTGCCTATCCCAAGCCACAAGGATTTCTTCCTAAGTTTTCTTCTGGAAGTTTTATGCTTTTAGTTTTACATTTGCGTCTGTGATCCATTTGGGGTTAACTTTTATGTATAGTCCAAGGTGTGAATTGAAATTCATTATTTTGCATATGGATAATGAATTGTTGTAGCACCATTTGTTGAAAAAAATTATTTTGTCTACTGAATTATCTTTGCACCTTCGCTAAGAAACACTTCTATAATGTTCATGTATATATTTATCATTTAGATATTCAGTACAATAAAATGGAGTTTTATTTTTTGAATTTTATGAGATCAGCTTTGTAGGTAAATTCTGATAGCTAATTGCTGGGAAACTTTATCTCCTAGTCAGTCTTCCTTGGATGTGTGAGTAAAAAGCACGTTTGGTTTTTTTCTACAGATGCAAAAATTTAAATGAATAGATTAGCATTTAAAAATTTCTGTTTAAGAACTACATGCATTCTAGGTGTTTAGCAAATTAATGTTGATGGTTTTAATCTTGTTAAATATTTGTGTCTTGTAATTCAAGGTAGTTGATGTCACTTGGCGATATTCTTGTAAACATGAAGAGGTAATCTCTAGAAGAACTGAAATTAAAGAGGAATTACTTAGAGAAACTATTAATGGACTTAATAAGCAGGTATGTGATGGGTGTTTGTCATTTTTGAGAGGACATTTGAAATTTTTTATATAATCAAGAATAGCCAGTTTTTAACCCATTGCAATTCTTTAAGTAGTATGCAAACAAAAATATTTAAATATGTTAAATGTCTTTTTTCATTAAACATTTTGAGGACTTATTTTAAATATTGTGGGTGGGTGTTTTGTTTCTTTGTTTGTTTGTTTGGGGTTTTTTTTTTTTTTGCCTTAAATTGTCATCTCAAAGTGGGGGGGGGGGGGAATTCAATTCAATATATGTAATACTTGACATAAAAAATATTTTGCCTTGGATGTCCCTGGAGGTCCAGTGGTTCAAGACTCTGCTAATGCAGAGGGCACAGCCTCAATGCCCATGTTCCCTGGTCAGGGAGCTGAGATCGCACGTGCTGCCAGGGGTGACCAAATAAGTAAAAGTCTTTACCAATCCTCCTGTTTAAAAAAAAAAAATATATATATATATATATATAGCACCTTATTTTTCTAAGTGTCACTTGAATATTATTACATGCAATTATCCTTACATGTATCTACATGGAGAAATTTCTGAAAGAAGGCACAGGAAATTGTTAACTATGCTTATTTTTGAGGAGAACTAGGGATCCAAGAGGGAAGTTTCAGCTTTGATTTTATACTCCTTTTGTGTACTGAAATTGTTTTTACTATATATTTGTGTATTATTAGTATTTTTCATGATTTGAAAAACAGCTCAGTTTGCATCTGGCAGGCAGTTAGAACAGGCAGATCACCTTACAGTGGTTGAGAGCCAAGGTGAGTCTCCTCCTACTTGGACTTCTGCCATGCCCCTAGTGTGCAGCCTTTCTGAGTGCCTCAGCTGAAACCCCGCAGTATCTGCTGGAGCTGGGGGAGGGCCTGGACTCTGGGGCCGGCTCCCAGCACTGGCAGCGCTGCTGTGTCCATGCCCGGCCTGCGGGGAGCGTGGCTCCCCGTGCCGCTTGGTAGGCGGCAGGTGCCTGGCAGGGAGTTCAGTTCGCCTCAGTTTGCTTCTTCCCTTGGGCGACCATGGTAGCTTTTTGTTGCATTCAAGCAGGTGTAATGTGTGTGTGTGGTCCCCGCTTTCCTCATCTTCTCAGCAGGACAGCTGGTCTTACTCAGAAACAGAACCTTCTGCCTCTGTAAAATCTGGGCCAACAGAGGACATGGAGTGGCTTCCCAGGTGGCGCAGTGGTAAAGAACCCACTTGCCAGTGCAGGAGATGCTAGAGACCCTGGGTTCAGTCCCTGGATCAGAAAGATGCCCTGGAACAGGAAGTGGCAACTCGCTCTAGTGTTCTTGCCTAGGAAATGCCTTGGACGGAGGATCCTGGTGGGCTCCAGTCTGTGAGGTCACAAAGAGTCAGACGTGACTGAGCACACACACATGCACACATACGCAAAGGGTATGGAAAACTGGATATGGGTGCCAAATGGTTTCTCAGCATGAAAGTTACAAAATCATCTTAACTTTCCACAGTGTCGTTTTTATTTTCCAAGTAATTGTATGTATGAAAATAAAGTTGGTTGGTTGGACATTGTTAAAATACAAATGTGTTAATTATAGTCATGCTTACAGATGGACCCCTGCATTCTCTTTATCTTTAGTGACTTTTTTGTTTTTAAACCTGAATTACAGAGGCAAGTATCTTTGTCAGAAAACAGAAGGAAAGAACTTCTTCAGAGGATCATTGTGGAACTTGTTGAATTTATATCTCCCAAAAACCCTAAGCCGGGAGAACTTGGAGGAAGGACGTCTGGGTCCTTGGCCTGGAGAGTCGCCCGAGGTGAAGCGGGTCCAGAGGTATTTGCTTCATTGCAACCCGATGACAACCTCACTTTCCCACTTCCTGTCCTATGCACTTTTCATGCAGCAAACCCACTGACCACTACCTTTCAATGAACTTCTCAGAGTAATTGTTACAAAGTGTAAACATTGAAGAGAGCCAATAGTGGTTTGACATAGTATAATTGCACACAGGAGTTAGCAAAGCAGTTAAAATGGGACTTTTTATTGTTACTTTATGTAAATTTCTAATGCAGCTATAACTTTTACTGAAGTACATGAAAATGCATGAATTATAAGTGCACAGCTTAAGAGATTTTCACAAAGTGTTGAACACATAACCACTAACCAGAATGAGAAATAGACGACCAGTCACCACCTTTCACCTCTTAAGTGTGACCATTATCCTGGTATCTAATATCACGGACTAGTTTTGCCTGTTATTCTGCTTTATGTAAATGGAATCATACAGGATGCACTCTTTTGTGGACAGTTTCTTTCTCATTATTTAGTGAGATTCATAGTTGTTGCTGCATATTTATAGTACATTTATTGTCATTGCTGTATAATATTCCACTGTGTGGATATTCTATAATTTATCCACATCACTATAGGGTATTTAGGTTGTTTCTCAATTTTGGTCTAAAATTGTGCTACTTTGCTGTTGACAATAATACCCAAGATATGGAAGCAGCGTAAGTGTCCATCAACAGATGAATGGATAAATAAGTTGTGTTGTTATACAATGGAATAGTATTCAGCCATTAAAAAAATAATGAAATAGTGCCATTTGCAGCAACAATGGATGGATGTACAGACTGTCATACTAAGGAAGTCAAAGACAGATATTATATGATATCACTTATATGTGGTATCTGAAAAATAGTACAAATGAATCTGTTTACAAAATAGAAGCATGCTTTGCAGACGCAGAAAACGACCCTTTGAGTGCTCAGAGGGGAGAGGGGCGGGGGGTGAGTTAGGAGGCTGGGAGGCGCACACTGCCCATTGCAAAACAAGCACGCAGCACAGAGCGCAGTGTCCCGGGATAATCTACAGGGGAGGTCCTCTGGGAACAGGCACCGCTTGTGTTTGTGTATGTGCTGGGCTCAGTGGCTTCAGTCATGGCTGACTCTGTGACCCAGGGACTGGAGTCCACCAGGCTCCTCTTCCATGGGACTTCCCAGGCAGAACGCTGCAGTGGGCCGCCATGCCCTCTTCCAGGGGGTCTACCCCACCTGGGGATCAACCCACATCTTCTGTGTCTCCTGCATCGTAGACAGATTGTTTACCCACTGAGCCACTTGGGAAGTCCTATATGTGTATAACTGAACCACTCTGCCATACAGCTGAAATCAACCCAGTGTTGTCAGTCAGCCGCCCTTCAGTTTTAAGTGTTGCTGCTGTGAACACATGCAGACGTGTCTTCAGTGAGTGTTGTGCATGCTCAGGTGGGTGCACACCTGCGGCAGAAGAGCCGGGTCAGAGTGTGAGGACCGGCTGCTTCCAAACCACTTCACACTCTGCCCAGCAATAAGTGAGATTTTTCCACGTCTTTACCTGTGGTTCCCTGTCTTTTTCATGCTAGCATTTGTAGTGGTATATAGTATTATACTGTGATTTTTTTCCGTAAGAAATTAATTTTCTCTGGAAATTGTGGTGGCTTTCTGTTCTTTAATGTTACCTGTTTCTGCCTGTGCTCCTCGTCGCTGTGCCGAGCGGGGGCTGCTCTGTGGCTGTGGTGTGCAGGCTTCTCGCTGCGGGGCGCCGGCGCTGGGGCCCGCAGGCTTCCGTGCTCCGAGCTCGTCGCTGTGCCTGGGCTCTCTCTGGCTGTGCTGAGTGGCCTCCTCGCTGTGCAGGCTTCTCTCGCTGCGGGGCACCGGCGCTGGGGCCCGCAGGCTTCCGTGCTCGTCGTCGCTGTGCCTGAGCTCTCTCTGGCTGTGCCGAGTGGCCTCCTCGCTGTGCAGGCTTCTCGCTGCGGGGCCCCGGCGCTGGGGCCCGCAGGCTTCCATGCTCGTCGTCGCTGTGCCTGGGCTCTCTCTGGCTGTGCTGAGTGGCCTCCTCGCTGTGCAGGCTTCTCTCGCTGCGGGGCACCGGCGCTGGGGCCCGCAGGCTTCCGTGCTCGTCGTCGCTGTGCCTGAGCTCTCTCTGGCTGTGCCTGGGCTCTCTCGGGCTGTTCCAAGCGGCCTCCTCGCTGTGCAGGCTTCTCTTGCTGCGGGGCCCCGGCGCTGGGGCGCGCGGGCATACTGTCCCGCAGTGTGTGGGGTCTTCCCGGACCCAGGAGGGAGCCGGTGTCCCCTGCATTACAAGGTGGGTTCTAACCACTGGACCACAAGGGAAGCCCTGACGTTTGATTTTCATAATTTATTTTTTATCCAAGTTCAGTTGATTTACAGTGTTGTGTCAGTTCCAGGTTTACACAGAGTGATTCAGTTTTACATATGTATTTTTCCCCCGGTTTAAACATTGCATCTTGATGCTGGACCATGACATTGAATGTCTGTCTGTAAACTTTCAGACATCATCTTTTGTGAAGCCCTGTTCAGTGCCGTGAAAGCACAGTGGGGAACGTAGTAGAAATCTGGGCCATTCCGCTAGTGAAAGTGTTCATTTCTTACTACATTCTTGACCACGTCTAGTTTTGGCTAGAAATTGTTGTTGGTGTGAGTACTATTACATAGTCAGACTTTCTGAAAATATTATCAGTTAATCTCTCAAAATTAAGTGATGAACAACGGGAGTATAATTGCTAGAGTTAGAGGCTTGCTGAAGGCATTGTGCTCTCTAACGGACATCAAGAAAGTTCTTTGCCCTTGGGGAGCTTACAGTTGACTGGCTAGAAAGCGTTTATTATAAACGCCTAAGAAGGTAAGTCATGGAACTGCTTGAAAGGAAAATAACCAAACAAAGTTCTATATCTACTTTTTCCAAATTTGCCATTATTACACCTCATTTCTCTAATAAAGGAAGAGTGGTGAATTATCCCTAGTCAACATTGTTTACTTTTAAATTTATCTCATATTTAGCAGGCAGTTAGAAGTGGTGGTTCAGCCATAGAATAACGATCTGAATTCAACAGATAACTCCAATCACTCCTGATGCAGTGCACATTACAAGTAGAAATCTAAATGAAGCCAGTTTGAACAGAGCCAATGTCATTCACAGCTGTGTTCAGTTTAAAATATGGGTATTTAGGTCTTCATTTCTTTTTCTTTTCATGGATGAGTGTGCTTCCTCTTGCATGGCATATAAGTTAATTAAAGTTTAAAATAGGAATTGGGCTATATGCCCAGATTGTTTTCCCTTTTGAAAAATTTTTAAATTTCTCAATTACGGAGATCATTTTAGAGCTGTGAATTTTAAAAGTCATTTTTCTCTTTTGAAATAGATGTTTATTTTAAAAGTCAGTCCTAAAAATTAGGGAACTATATATTTTGAAATCAGCTGGACAAAGAAGGAAACATTAGTGATGTTTTCAGAAAGAGTTTTGTCTTAACCTTAAATTTTAAAGCATTTATGAAATATTAATGTTATAAATGATATATTCAGTAACATACATATTTTTCTTTTCCCTTTGTAATTAATTATCCTTTGGTAAAATAGTAGATAATGATACTTAAAAATTTTAGTTCCCTCTGGTTTATGGCAGTACTCTGAAATATCTTTGATAGTGAAATGTCTTTGATAAAGAAGAGAAGAATGGAAAAGTATTGTTACCTGCTAATATACTAATTCATATTTAGAAAATCACCTTCTAAAGATAATAAACTGATTTTTTTTACCTTATCCTTGTGGCAATAATAATTACAGGTTCTAGGGAATTATCTTCTTATTTATACATTTGTAAATACTTTCTGTTTCTAAGATATTTTATATTCTACTTGCTAATTCTTGTACATTTGAAGTTTTCACATTGGTTAATACCTGGTACCCAGTGTTTAACCAAAAAAAAAAGCATTACCTACTATCATAATTGATTAGTAAATGATTCATTAAAGCAAGACATTGATACAGACTATAGCAGTGGTTCTCAGCAGCGGGTGATGTTGCCTTCCAGGAGACATTTGGCGGTGTCTGGGGACATTTCCGGTGTTAGAACTGGGATGGGTGGTCCCACTGGCCTCTTGAGGGTGAGACCAGAGAGGCCGCCACACAGGCTGCAGTGCACAGGGCATCTCCCCATCCCCACCCCCGAGAAAGACTGACCTGACCCACAGGCGCCTGTGCTCATGTGTAAGGGAGAGGGGACATGGTGTCGGTGCCATGCAGATGCAGGGTAAATGCAGCATCTTTCTCAAACTGTAAATGCACTCAGTGACTTCAGGGATTTAGGGGACTATTTTACATTAAAAGAAACAATTTATTTTGTCAGAGAATGCAAAATTGCTTGCAATTTTAAGGTAAAACATGAGATTTTGTAGTAATTTCACCCATGCAGACAATCATTTCCAGCTATCCTGTCCTCACTTCTAGCATCAGGAAAGGACACTGATGAAATGACTTTCGGCTGTGGCCTGGAGCGGGAGGAGGAGTCAGGTAGCTGGAGAGCAGCAAGCACAGCCTTCCAGATGCGCGTGTCAGGGCTCTGAGGCAGAAAGGAGCTGGCTTTGTAAGGAGCTAAAGAAGGAGGAAATGGTGGGGGGCGTGGAGGCAGCAGGGAAGAGGAGCCTGGGGTCTGGTAGGAGAGGTCACGGAGATCAAGCCGTGTGTGGCCCTACAAAGCCACCTTTGTAGGGGCTTAGGGTCTCTAGCAGGAGGTCGGTGCAGCGAGTTTGGCAAGTAAGTGATGTGTCCCAATTTACGTCCTTGACAGTCGTCTTGATCTGTGTGGAGAGGTTGAGTTGAAAGCTAGGACTCAGCTATAGGAGATGACTGCTGTGTCCAGTTAAAAGGTGGTGACGGTGGTGGGAGTGAATTCATGTTGACGCACAGTCCCCAAAGTGTAAGTCACAGCTGTCACAGCTGCAGTTTATGTTTCTTGTTTTCTGCTCAGTAATGTCTACTGCTGTGTCAGCACCACACTGATGATGTTTAACCTGTAAGAGTTTCCAAATTTCCCTACAGCGCCACTACACTTCCCCGTTGCAGGGGTCGCTTAACCCCTCTCCACAGCGGTACCTCTTTGTGCACCTGTCTTCTGTGATGTTGGAAAACTAATTCTTCTTTTTTTTCCAAGAGTAAAGAAACCCTGTTCATCCCCTCTGAAAATGAGAAGATTTCTAAACAGCTCCACCTTTGCTATAATATTGTAAAAAATTATTATGTCCGAGTTTCAAGTAATAACCAAACCATTTCTGGATGGGAGAATGGTGTGTGGAGAATGGAATCCATATTCAGAAAAGTTGAAACAGACTGGAACATGGTAACGTAATGCTTTAAAATCTTAGTCATTCTTTAAACAAATAGAGATTGGCTTCATTTTTCACCTGGTCTTAATGTACAAACTGATACGAGAACTACACTTAGTTATCCTTAAACTTGTAAAAGAAGACCCTGCTCCCAGTGTTCAATGAAAAGTCCATCAGAAACCTGTGTGTTTGCATCAAGAATGTACCCGTTTTCATCAGAGGCTGAATGCTTTCATGGAAAAAAATCAAGTGTATGAGCAACTCATGTAACTAGTTTTTGCATGAATATATGGAGTATATTATTACCCATTTCCTTTGTGGATATGTATTGATTGCCTGCTAAAAAAGCAAGCTACTAGATACCATAACATTTAGTTCAGAGTCCCAAGAGCTAACCATTGGACATGCTTCCATCTCAACGGATTGTGGCTGGTTGAGCAGCAAGATTGGTTTATTTCTTCTCTGTTTCCTCTAAAATAATGGAAGAAATGGATGCTGGGAATGTGGTAGTTCACTATACCAGCTTGTACATTGTTGTCATATGTCATCTGTAATAAGTAAGAGGCTTTGCTTTTAAACTACCCCCTCCCTTAGAAAAACTCACCAAAAATAAGTGCAGAGCTACTCACATGCCCTCACTAGATCCGACCATGTCACTGACAGATTTCATGGGCATTAATGAGCTTATGGGCCTCTTTAACTTGCCAAGTGAGGGGTGCGAAGGTGTTCACTTGTGAGACACTCGAGTGGATGTAGCGGGAGAGTCACGGATGAGCAGCTGCTGGTGTTGCTGAGCATCTGCACCGTGCTTATCCTTGTAAGGCTAGGTATTCCCCAGCATGCACAGGGCGCACACCGATAAGGTCCCTGCTTCCTTCTCTTCTTCCCCACAAGTTTGTCTCCTAAACTTGTCTTGGTGTGCATTTGGACCATCTTTTTGTAATAAGCTAAAAATGATTTATAGGCTTATTGAGATTGTAGATGTAGGAATTTACTTCTTTAGTTAGAGAAGGACATGAGAGATAAAATAAGATGTAAAGTTTTCAGACGTGTGTATCTGTAATTGTCTAGTTGATGAGCAAGGGTGGACTTCTAGAAGATGCTCCTCAGTTGCGGAATTGCTCTGAACAGAAAGCAGGAAGGGGCAGACGTGGCTCTTAGCAAGGGCTTGTCTGTGCTGGCCCCCGCTGCTAGCCCAGTGTCCGGAGGAACCGCTGTGCGGGGAGCAGAGGTGGTCTGCGGCAGGCTTTTGGTCCTGACCTGCAGTTGTCCACCTGCACGTGAGGGCCAAGGGCCCGCTGTGCCCGCATGGACATGAGCATACTGGCATGGAAACTCCCGGAGGGAAACACGCCCTGGTTGCGGGAGCCGGGCAGAGAGCGCTCAGTGGAGCCCGGCGCTGAAAGGAGAAGTGTGGTTAGACAGGAGTGGCAGGCACTTCTAGACCTCTGAGTCGATCTCACAGCCCGGGCGGGTGTGTTGTGTGAGAAAGCTTCTGAGTAAGGTAAATGAGATGTGAAGGCCATTACATGCAGACACGCCGACTTAAGTGTATGCCTTCATATACTTTTACAGGGGGCTCTGTTTTGTTTTGTTTTTTTACAGCTGAATGAATACATTTCCAGTTCTAAATGAAAAATGCTAGAATTGTAACTGTACTTGTAGAAACGTAACTCAGAAGGAATGCATTGCCATTAAAAGCGTGGGTTTTCCACCTGCACCCGTGTTTTCGCTCTGTCCTAGGTTCCCCGTTGGGGACTCTCTGACTGCACCAGACGCAGGACCCATTTCCCCCACACCCTCCCTCGCAGTCTCCTCGTGGGGCTGCGGCAGGGCACGGCAGCCCGTCTGTGGGTGTTGAGAAAAGACCTCACCCTCTCCCGGGAGCACAGAGACTCGCTGAATTTTACTGCTTACAAGTATACCATTCAGCAATGTCTGGATTTGAAAGGAACATAAAAAGCTAGAGTTTACTGAAGAGTTCACTTTTTAAGGGCACTTTTTAAGTGTTCTTAGATGCTCTGTATCTTTGAACAGTTTTATTCTCTTTGCCACTAGAGTCATGTTAGCACTTTTTGATGCAGGACATCATGCCAGGAATTGATGCAGTCATTCAGAATCAGACACTGCTCAGCATTTAGGATTAGTGGTGAATTTCGAGGCAGACCTGCAGCGAGGGTCTGTTCGTGCCAGAGGAAGACACGGGGAGCGGCCGCCGAGACGAGTGAGGGAAGCACTGTGTGAGACGGCGGAGCCGCCGGGTCCCCGAGGGCCTGGCAGGGGAAGGGGGGTCTGCGCCGGCCTTGGAGGCGGCGGCTGAGGAGCCTCTGAGAGTGCGGCGTGAGAAGCGCTGTGTGCAGTGCCCGCGCCGACCTGAGAGACAGCTGGCAGGTTCAGAGAAGAGGGAGGTGTCGGGAACGTGGGGAAGTGAGGCTGCAGGGGTGAGCGGGTCAGGCCCCAGGGGCTTGGGTGGCCTTGCAGTCGTGCAATAGGAAACCACGCAGGCGTTCAGGCGAGGGAAGCCCATCGTCACACTGGCCATCCAGAGGCTGCGAGTGGAAGCACGGGAAGTGTGGACTAGACAGTGTTCATGACGGACCTCAGCGAGAAAACGGAATAACCAGGATTAAGATTGCTGAGCAAGGGCAATGTACTAGCATTGGAGGAAGACTTGAAATACAGCTGCTCTGCTGGAGATGCAGGCATGACTGACTGCACGGTGAACTCAATTAGAGCTCATTCAGCAGCCTCAGCAGAATGCTGATTTTTAAGAGCATGCTAGAGAACCACTCCCGACGAGAGCAGTACACCCCAGACCTCCAGGAAGGCGGAGCGGCGGGCTGACCAGCCTGGCGTGTAGTCATCAGAAAATCATTGTGTGAAGGTCTTCACAAGAACGGGAGATGGCGGGAGGAAGCTGGTGTGCACGTTGTTCTCGGTCTTGAAAGCAGTGGTCACGGCCACAGCCCACAGGACTGGTTCCGTCAGGGTGCCTCTTGAGCAGCACGGCTTGACCCCATGCCGTCGATCTCACCCCTCTTCGCAGGCGGTCGTGTGCCTCTGTCCTCACAGGTGCCGGAGCGGGGCCAAGGGCCCCACCTGCGAGTTTAAAAGGCCAGCACACAGACAGGAGTCTGCGACAGGCAGCAGCTACAAAAGCGCTTTTCCCCTTTAGAGCAGATAGTTGACTAAGAGGTGATAAAGTGTTTTTTTCTTCTAAATAAATTATAATTACTAGTTCTGTTGGTTTTACACATAGACTGGACCACAATTGGAGGTTTATATAAATCCTGTTGGTTTTGGTTTCAAATTACCAAACTGAGTATACTGTATATAGTAACATCCTACCACCTCTAAAAATGCTGAGTTAAATAAGTTGGCTAAAATGCTACAGATAGAATATATTGTGCAAAAAAGATGACATGAATTTTCAATAGAAATAGGACCTGTTTTATCTCCATGTGCTCTTCCTTTAACCTAAGGGAACTTTTATTTGCTCACAGTGTGTTTAAAGGTTTATTTAAGCATTTAAGAATTCAGTGATGAATTCCATCTTACCTTTTAACTTTTTAGAGTCATTAAAAATTGATGCCTTTAGAACTGAAAAATGTGAGTGTTAGAAAAAGCAGTTCTCAGACAGGTTCAGTAGCCATCAGAAACCTTTTGTGACAGTTAAAACAGTTCTGGCCCAGACCCACCTGATACAGTGAAGGCAGGTCTTGGTGGCAACTTGAAATTTGAGGTTAACCTGACTTCAGCCTATCCTGTTTTATATGCCTACACTTTGATGGGGGGCATTTGAAGCTACTGAGCTCTGAAAACACACAGGACGTAGAAGACACACAGAAGTAAGATCACTTTCCCCCAGTCTTTTCGTTTCTTTCCACCACCTTCCTTCTAGTAACCCCTCTGTTTGGCTCATTTTTTTCAGATGACCCCCTTTACTAACCTCTGTTTTGGAGGAGTAGTTAAGTCATGGATAACCCATAGGGGCCCGGTCGTTCAGCAGAGGTGAACGTCTGGCTCCCAGGAGCACAGGTGCAGCCCTGAGGCCAGTTCCCCTGCAGACAGCTGCAGGGGGGGATGCAGTGGCCACCCGCAGGCCGAGGTCCTGGAGTCGGGCAGGCGGCAGCGCCCACGCCCGGGTCTGCTGTGCAGAACAGTGGTAGGCGGGTGTGCATTTCTGGTCTCAGGAGGTTAAGTGGTTTTCCTTGGAGACTGATTGTTTAATGATTTTATCATCGCCAGCTCGCTGATTCTGAAAACTCAAATTAGCTGACACATTTAACCTGGAAGAAAACTATAGGTTGCCAAATAGAATGAAATGTTGATAACGTGCTGCTGGCAGTGATTGACTTCTTACTTGATGACTGAAAACTGGAATAGTACGGACTTAGATGGCAGCTGTGTTTCTTGTGGTACTTCCAGCTGTTTGCCCCTGAGAAGTAAATTAGATGTTTCTGAAAGAGTGCATGTGTTTGTGCAGGTTTCTGGTCAAATAAATACTGTTTATTAAACTCGGTAAATCCAGAACCTATGCCCCAGAGAGTTTATGATTTGGTTAAGTTACATAATACAAGTACATCTGAAATGAAATAGTTATACTTGGGTCACAGAGTATTGGCAGTTCAAGCGGGATGAAATTCTGGAGGACCATGAAAGCCAAGAGTTTGGCTATAATGTGAGAGGCAGGCACTTGCTGTGAGTTCTAGACCAGGCAAGTGATATGAAGGAAGTGGCATTTTAAAAGCGTTAATTAGGCAGTTGCAGAAAAATGAGAATAAAGTCATGACCATATTGACAAGTGCCATATAATTAAAGAGGTTTTTGTGGGTTTTTTTCCTCCAAGACTTATAATGTCCAGATTTTTGTGTGGGGGATTTGGACACTGGGCATAAATGATGAAAGAGATTCTCAGGGGGTTGAGCCGGGGTGAGTGGACATCCGTTTTCGTACCAACATTTGCAGAGTGTAGATGAACCTGTGAGAGCAGATAGACTGGAGGCTTCAGTGAGCCTGGATGCCTCCACTGGGATGTTGGTCAGGGCGCTGATGGTGGAGGCCCGGGGAGTGTCCTGTTCAGAGAGGCACGAGAGGAGCATGGACATGACATTTTTAACCAGACCATTACTTTAGCAGTGACTGAGGTATTTCTTGGTTTATAGGGTGTGGCCCATCTCATTCTAGGAAAGCTTATCCGAAAACTCAGGCTTAGAAAAGAAGATAAATTAAGGAATAATTGCATTTAAGAGGACTCTTCATTTTCATCCAGATTCATCATAAAGTTCATTTGAAACAGCTGGACTTGATAACTTAAAAGAGAATATAATTCACCAAAATTTGGTTAGCGGGCAGCCTTAGGGCTGTACTAATTGATGCACCTATCATTCAAATAGTATCTTCCATCCCTAGCAAGAGATGCTAGTAACATGAAAAATTGTTAGCAGTAAAAATCTTTGCAGTGGGGAAAAATGAGACTTTTAATAACCAGTTTTTCATAGCACATGTGATAGACTCTTGACGATCTGTGCTCTTACACTGGTTGATTATTTCTGACAGCCCCTTTTTTCCCTCCCTCTTTACAGGTGTATTTAGCCCGCAAGGAAGGATCGTCTTATGCTTACATTTCCTGGAAGTTTGAATGTGGGTCAGTTGGCCTAAAAGTAGACAGTATTTCCGTTCGGACAAGTAGTCAGACCTTTGAGACTGGAGCAGTACAGTGGAAGCTGAGCTCTGATGCTGCGCAAGTAGCGCTGACAGGCGGTAAGCGTCTGCCTGGGAAACTAATCACGAAGGGTGTGCTTGATGCTCTGGAGAGTAGCTGCACTTATTTGAAATGTAGTTAAGGGCTTTTCTTACCCTGGAGTCATTCATACTATTACAGTAAAAAAAAAAAAAGTTTCAGTTAAAACCTGCAGTTTAACCTCATATAATAAAAGGGCTTATGTTTCTTATTGTGAAGCACAAATGGAAGGAGAAAAATCATTTCTTTTTCAGAGGACACATTTCCTCCATAAAGAATAATTTGTATTTATTTTTTTAAGAGTTGATTTTTACCTATAAGGTAGTTATATAAAATGCATTCTCTGTGTTCTTATCAAAAGCAAGGTGAAATTAATTTTTTTTTCCTCCAATAGATAAAACTCTTCGCTCCTATCACGATTTTTCTGGGGCCACTGAAGTTATCCTGGAAGCAGAATTAAGCAGAGGAGATGGTGTTGTTGCTTGGCAACACACCCAGCTGTTTAGACAAAGCTTAAACGACCATGAAGAAAATTGTTTGGAGATAATTATAAAATTCAGTGACCTTTGAGAACCTGAGCATTACAGAGAAGCTGGCGATGATCAAGGACATAGCTTGTTCCAAAGCAGTCTGCTGGTGCCATGCATGCTTAGTTGGCAGTCTGCTCTCCTCTGGTAGCACGTTTCCCTGTTGGCTATCCATCATGTAACCCTCATGAAAATATATACCATGGACCCTAATGAAACCTCGAATTAAAAGCTCCTTTCCATATGTGACTCTGATTTGGAGTGAAATCTTACTGCCCCACTATGAGAATTTAACTTAAAAATTGTAATTGTGGCTTTAAAAGTAAAGTGAAGGTATTCATGACTAAATACTGTTCAGGATTATGGTGAAATCTTCAGCTAATAATACTAATTTGACAGTTTCTGATCAGCCTTTAATTTTTCCATAAGTAGCTAAAATAGATTTCATAAGATTTTAAATTTTTAATAAATGTGAACATGTATCTCATGTTATAATGCATGAAAATTTTTATGATTGTAAATATGTAGGCATTTAAGAAATAAATTATTTTGCGTTACATCTTTTTAGTGGTTACTTTGGCCAAATAAAAATCTTAAGTATGCTAAACATTGAAAACCACTTGAATAGCCAAGAATTATGAAAACAACATTGCATAAATTCAAAGATACATTATAAATCCATGGTATGTGGACACTTCTGAGAATGCTTTACTGTTGAGTTTATTTTTGAGTATTTTTATCTACCTCATTGAATAAAATGTTTTTTCTTGACTTTGAAACAATGTAACTGTATTATTCAGTATCCATACAATGTATCAAGAGTTTTCTCTCTGTGTTGGGTGTAACTTCTCCAGTTAAACTTAGTGAACATGTGTGAAGTGTTTGTGTGCAAGAGCCTTGTGGGGGCGCCATGTGGGGGTGGTGAGAAAGATGACACCTGCAGCCCCAGCCCCCAGAGGCCTGTGTGGACGGTCTGCAGAGGGGTTGCCCAGCTCTCCCAGCCAGAGAAGTAGGTTCTCAGACTTTCTCACCCTGTGTAGTCCAGTAACATGTTTACAAGCGTTATAAAATATCTCCTGAAATTCTGAAACAATGGTATTATATTTTGTTTTTAATTGTAGTCAAACTCTGTTGAGGATCACTTTCTTGCTAAAAACTTACATTTAAAAGAAAAGTAGCTTGTACCTCTAAATTTATTAATATGTCTTGAATATTAGAAATTTTTCTGGAACTCTCAAACTCTGAAGTTAATCACAGATCATGGAGTGGCCAAATAGGTAAAATTGGGGAGACTTGACTCCCACCTATCTTGTGAAGTGTCTGGTTTCAGCACAGTAAACATTTGGGTGGTAAATGGACCAGCACTCCTCATGAGAAAAACGAGCGGGACAAGCAGTCTCATAAAGATGCTTGCTCCTCAATTTGTATGGAAATACAAAAAACCTCGAATAGCCAAAGTAATCCTGAGAAAGAAGAATGGAACTGGAGGAATCAATCTGCCTGACTTCAGACTATACTACAAAGCCACAGTCATCAAGACAGTATGGTACTGGCACAAAGACAGAAATATAGATCAATGGAACAGAATAGAAAGCCCAGAGATAAATCCACGAACCTATGGTCACCTTATCTTTGACAAAGGAGGCAAGGATATACAATGGAAAAAAGACAACCTCTTTAACAAGTGGTGCTGGGAAAACTGGTCAACCACCTGTAAAAGAATGAAACTAGAACACTTTCTAACACCATACACAAAAATAAACTCAAAATGGATTAAAGATCTAAATGTAAGACCAGAAACTATAAAACTCCTAGAGGAGAACATAGGCAAAACACTCTCTGATATAAATCACAGCAGGATCCTCTATGACCCACATCCCAGAATTTTAGAAATAAAAGCAAAAATAAACAAATAGGACCTAATGAAACTTAAAAGCTTTTGCACAACAAAGGAAACTATAAGCAAGGTGAAAAGACAGCCCTCAGATTGGGAGAAAATAATAGCAAATGAAGCAACAGACAAAGAATTAATCTCAAAAATATACAAGCAACTCCTCCAGCTCAACTCCAGGAAAATAAATGACCCAATCAAAAAATGGGCCAAAGAACTAAACAGACATTTCTCTAAGGAAGACATACAGATGGCTAACAAACACATGAAAAGATGCTCAACATCACTCATTATCAGAGAAATGCAAATCAAAACCACAGTCAGGATGGCTGCTATCCAAAAGTCGACAAGCAATAAGTGCTGGAGAGGGTGTGGAGAAAAGGGAACCCTCTTACACTGTTGGTGGGAATGCAAATTAGTACAGCCACTATGGAAAACAGTGTGGAGATTTCTTAAAAAGCTGGAAATAGAACTGCCATATGACCCAGCAATCCCACTTCTGGGCATACGCACCGAGGAAACCAGATCTGAAAGAGACACGTGCACCCCAATGTTCATCGCAGCACTGTTTATAATAGCCAGGACATGGAAGCAACCTAGATGCCCATCAGCATCTGTGGTACATATACACCATGGAATATTACTCAGCCATTAAAAAGAATTCATTTGAATCAGTTCTAATGAGATGGATGAAACTGGAGCCCATTATACAGAGCGAAGTAAGCCAGAAAGATAAAGACCATTACAGTATACTAACACATATATATGGAATTTAGAAAGATGGTAACGATAACCCTATATGCAAAACAGAAAAAGAGACTCAGATGTATAGAACAGACTTGTGGACTCTGGGAGAAGGCGAGGGTGGGATGTTTCAAGAGAACAGCATCAAAACATGTATATTATCTAGGGTGAAACAGATCACCAGCCCAGGTTGGGTGCATGAGACAAGTGCTCAGGCTTTGTGCACTGGGAAGACCCAGAGGGATGGGGTGGAGAGGGAGGTGGGAGGGGGGACCGGGATGGGGAATACATGTAAATCCATGGCTAATTCATTTCAATGTATGACAAAAACCACTGCAATGATGTAAAGTAATTAGCCTCCAACTAATAAAAATAAATGAAAAAAAAAAAAAAAAACGCTTGCTCCTTGAAAGAAAAGCTATGACAAACCTAGACAATACATTAAAAAGCAGAGACATCACTTTGCCAGCAAAGGTCCATCTAGTCAAAGCTGTGGTTTTTCCATTAGGCATGTGTGGATGTGAGAGTTGGACCATAAAGAAAGCTGAGTGCCGAAGAATTGATGCTTTTGAACTGTTGTGTTGGAGGAGACTCTTTGAGAGTCCCTTGGACTGCAAGGAGATCCAACTGGTCCATCCTAAAGGAGATCAGTCCTGAATATTCACTGGAAGTACTGGTGCTGAAGCTGAAACTCCAATACTTTGGCCACCTGATGCGAAGTACTGACTCCTTGGAAAATACCCTGATGCTGGGAAAGATTGAAGGCAGGAGGAAAACAGGAAATTGGTCATTGGTGGGTCTGACCAGCATCATCTTGGTTGTTTAAGGTACAGTTAGTTTTCACTTCCTGGGTTGATTTGTTCCCATTACACTGAGACCGGTTCTCAAAACTGTGACAGCTTATGTCATGGACTAAAGCTTGGCGTGCTGCAGTCCGTGGGACCGCAGAGTCAGACACGACTGAGCGGCTGAACCACGCCACGGCTACAGTCTGGTCATCCTGTAGTTAACTTCTTCCACCTGATGGGCGTTTCAGTATAAGACAGCTCACAGGAAATGGCCCAGAAAATTATTGCCCATGGTGGTGGTGTGTTAGTTGCCCAGTTGTGTCTGACTGTTTGGGACCCTGTGGACTGTAGCCTGCCAGGCTCTTGTGTCCATGGGATTCTCCAGGCAAGTATACCGGAGTGGGTTGCCATCTCCTCCAGGGGATCTCCCCGACCCAGGGATTGAACCCCGGTCTCCCCGTTTACAGGCAGGTTCTTTACCACCTGAGCCGCCAGGGAAACCCCTTGGACTGCTTGTTCTGGAGGAAGATCATTGCTATGCCAGGAGGCCTCTCGAGCAGGTGTGGAGAGGAGCCAAGGACTCCCTCCAGCCCCATTCAGACTTCAGGGATGCCTCGTGAGAAGGGGTCACACAGTTGGACCTGCCCAGCTGAACCACTACTGAATTCCTAATGCACAGAAACCAGATCTAGTGAGTGGCTTTTTAAAAATGTGTGTTTATAGAGCATGATGTTGCTGTCATGGACTGAATGTTTGTGTAAAGTGAAAGAAAGAAAGTGAAGTCGCTTAGTCATGTCCGACCCTTCGCGACCCCATGGACTGTAGCCCGCCAGGCTCCTCCGTCCGTGGGATTCTCCAGGCAAGAATACTGGAGTGGGTTGCCATTTCCTTCTCCAGGGGATCTTCCCGACCCAGGGATCGAACCCAGGTCTCCCGCATTGCAGGCAGACACTTTAACCTTTCCTACCCTCCCCCGAATTCATGCATCGAAATCCTAACCCCCAAGTGTGATGGTGTTAGGAGGTGAGGCCTTTGGGAGAGAATTAGGTCATAAAGGTGGGACCTTCATGAATGGGTTTCTTGCCCTTAGGAAAAGAGAGGAGAGAACCTCGAAAGAAGCCATCCGCAAAACAGGAAGAGGGGAGGGCCTCCAGCAGGAACTCAGCCCGATCTCAGAGCTTCCAGCACTGTGAGAGGTGGGTGCCGTGAAGCCCCCAGTCTATGTGATCTGTTTACTGCAGCACAAAGTAGGCCAGTTAATTAAAACAGTGTTGCTCTTTTTGCCAATCTGATGGGTGAAAAATACCTAGTTTTAACTTCCATTTCCTTGATTACTATGAGATTCCAATTGTTCATTAGCCAGTTTGGTTTCTCCTTTAAATGTTCTGTGTTTATCCCTCAGTATCCACAGGGGTTTGGTCTAGGACTGTCTACAGATCCCAAAACCCAAGGATAATCCTCAGTTCCCTTATATAAAATGCCATGGTATCTGTATACAACCTACATGCATCCTCCTATATACTTTAAACCATCTCTAGATTGCTTGTAACACCTAATATAATATAAAAATGCTATGTAAATAATTTCTGGTATGAGGCAAATTCAAGCTTTGTTTTTTTG